AGATTCAATACCATTCCACCATTTCCCATTAAAATCCCAATTGTGCTTTTAATAGAAAAGCAGATCCTGAAAGTCACATACAAATGCAAGAAATCATAGATATATCAATAACTGTATAAAAAGAACAAAGTTGAATGCCTCATTGCTGGGAGCCATTGAAGCTGGAAACTGACCATACATGCAAGGCTGGGGCATGGCCTTACCAAGAACAAAGAGCACCAGGGACAAGCCACATGAAGAAGGTGCTTTAGTCCAGAGAATACCTAGGCCCATGACAATCAAAATGGTGGGCTGCCAGGACAACAGGGTGCCCGACACATGACATTAAGTTGCTAAAATGTACAAATAAATGCTTCTGCAGTGAGGGGGCAGTTCCTTTTTTCCATCCATCGAGTAAAGGTTCCACCTGACCCAAGCTTTGTATTTTCTTCATTTTCTCATCCTCTTGCTGTCTTTCGCCCAAGGAACCTCAAGGACACCTTATACTTCTTAATTTACAAGTAATATAATCCTTATGTCTATTATCAACATAAGGCTAAACATAAAAACCAGTGGAAGATAATCCTTATGTCTGTTATCAACATAAGGATAAACATATAAACCAGTGGAAGATAAGTAAACCCATACATCTGTGGTCAACTGATTTTGACAAAGATACCAAGATCATATAATGGAGAAAAAGGAGTCTTCTTACAAAAGGTACTTGGATAAATCAATCTCACACTACATAAAAAAATTAATTAAAACGGATCAAAGATCTGAATGTAAGAGCCAGGTATAGAGTGCATTCCTATAATCCCAGCACTCAGGAGTCTGAGGCAAGAGTATTGCCTCAAGCGCAGTGTTAGCTATGTAGTACATTCAAGGACAGCCTTTTAGTCCTATATGTAGTGAGGCCTTGTCTCAGAAAAAAAAATACACACACATATACACATATACAATATACATATATGCATATATATGAGCTAAACCTACAAAATTCTTAGATGAAAACATGTCTGTGACTTTGGCAAAGGTTTCATATGATAGATATGAACCAGAAGTATGAGTAACAAAATATATATGCAAATAAAAAAATTAGTATCTGGACTGAAGATGGAGCTCAGTAATAGAGTTCTTTTTCTTTTTATACTTTTTCCTCCCATAATTTTAAGGCAGGGTCTTGGTAAATTGCTCACGCGGCCCTTATACCTGTGATTCTCCTGGCCTTACCTTCCCTGAGTGATGGAATGATAAGCGTTTGCCACCCAGCCTTGGATTGATCTATATAGCTAGCATAAGGAAAGGAGAAAAAAAAAAGGCAAAGGACTTGCTTGAATGAATATTTCTCTAAACAAGATATACAAAATGGCCAACAATATACAAAACAATGTGCAATATTATTTGTGTTTAGGAAAATGTAAATGAAAACCACAATGGAGGTGTGAGGCCCTGGATTTGATCCCCAGCATTGTATAACAAGCAAACTAAAACACTCAGTGTTGCTCTTCTGTCTCCATTGGTTTTATCATGTTGGATCTTACTGGATTTTATTATATGTGATAGTATAAACAAAAATTTTTATAGGCAAAGAGATAATATAGAAACCATTGTTCGTTTTCCATTAGCTGGTTCTAAATACCCTGTAATACTTTTATCCATTTGAATGGTTTCACACTGTTTTGATATGTTTGAAGCTATAGTATACGAAGTTATATTCAAATATTTCAAGGAAAGAGACACTATGGTAACTACTATTAAGTTGGGTTATTTGGTGGTGAAGCACTAGGTTGCTGAAATTGTCATGCTTTGACCTGTATTGTTATGTTGTTATGTCCTCTTTTATCTCAATCTCCCCCTTATTCATTAAAAAATTATTTATTAAAAAAAACACTCAAGGTGATACCACTGCACAGAGAGAGAGAGAGCAAGGAAGAAGAAGGAAGGAAAAAAAGAACAGAAAGAAAGGAGGGAGGACTATACAGTGTTGGTGAGGATATGGAGAAATTTAAACTCTTGTAAATTGCTGACAGAAATGAAAAGGTACAGCTGTTGTGGAAAACCATTTGGCAATCCCTCAAAAAGCTAAACATAGAATTACCATATGACTCAGCAGTTCCACATCTAGGTACATAAGCAAAAGAAATAAAAACAGGTGCCCCACAAAGGAAAGACCTGTGCTGCCTGAATCTTTTTAGTAGCACCATCTACTCACCATAGTCAAATGATCATCAATGGAGGAATGGATAGACAAAATGTATCCACATAAGTGAATATTATCCAGCTATAAAAAGGAATGAAACTTGCTACTCCATGCCTGAACCTTAGAAACAGGCTAAGAAGCTAGACACTAAAAGCCACATATTTTATGATTCTATTTATATGAAATATCCAGAATAAATGAATTCATAGAGACAGAAAGCAGATTAGTTATTGCCAGGATAGTACAGAATGGGGAGAGACTATTTAATATTTATGGGGTTTTGTTGTGAGGTGAGGAGAATGATCTGGAACCGGAAGTGATGATGACTGCACAACATTATAAATGCATTGAATGCCACTGAAATGTACATTTTGGTGAATCTAATTCTGGCAACAAAAATTATTTTTAATTAAGAAAAACCTTTTATACAAAACGTAATGTTGGGAAAGGCAAGAAGAATAAAACTTATAAAAGTAATTTATAAAAAGTTAGTATCTGAGGGGCTGGGGGTTTAGCTCAGTGGCAAAAGTGCCTGCCTAGCAAGTGTGAAGTCATGAGTTCCATCCCCAGTACAAAAAAAAAAAAAAAAAAGTATCTAAATTATTTAAAAAGATCCAATGCAAATATATAGGACAAATCTACAAAATTTTTGGCCTAAGTAACCAAAGTTGATGTACAGATTATATACCAGAATATAACTAAAATGAAATTTCTCACATAAAAAACACAGGCGAGCTAAGCACGGTGGTCTGCAACCACATTCCCAGCTGGCAGAAGGCCAAGTCAGGAGGCTCATGTGGGTCTAAAGTGTGAGGCCAGCTTGAGCAATATTGCAAGACCCTATCTCAAAAAAACCACAAAACAAACAAATAAAAAGGGTAAAATAAAAAGTACGGACAGGCTACTAGAATGTAAATGCTTACCAAAACATCTTTAAGTAAGCATTTTATTCCAAATACCTTAATAAAAGATAAGAATCAATTGGCCAGGTCATAGAAAAATGGATAAACTTAAGTATCTCTAATGGTATTATAAGACTATTTGAAAGAACACTCTGACTATATAATAGGAGCTAAAAAGCTAGTCAAGTATGTTGCCTTGGTAATTTCATCCTTAAAACTAGTTTTATTTTATTTTTTTTCTGTAGCAGGGAACTTGAACTCAGAGCCTCAGAAGGCTAAAACAAGCACTCTACCATTGAGCCACATTCTTAATCCACTTTATTTTTACTTTGAGCAGGGTCTTGCTAAATTTCTTAGGCTGGCCTTGAACTTGCAGTACTCCTCCCTCAACCTCCTAAATAGCTGGGATTACAGCTGTGTACCACATCAGGACTATAGAGAATTTAAAATTCAAGACTCTTCAATATAAATTGTAAAGGGCTAATTTCCCAGAAATGATTTTCAATTATATATATTTTTTGCCCCCAAATAGGTAGCCCCTTAAAGTAAGTGACAATATTTTTATAGGATAAATATAAGTTTAGAAGGAAATATCAGGGGTCAGGGAGATGGCTCAGTGGCCCGGCACCTGCCTGGCAAGCACAAGGTCCTGAGTTTGATTTCCAGTGCCAAAAAGAAAAAGAAAAAGAAAAGGTTAAATGACCAAATTAAGATCTTTTATTTTGTTAGTTTTTTACTATAAACCTCTTGCTGAACTAAGTTTCCAGGTCAATTCCCCAACAGGATTTTGAAAAAAGAAAAAAAAAGAAAGAAAGCTTTTTTAAAATTACACTTAAAAGGTTGGTCACATTCTTGCAAATAAAAATATTTTCATGTAATACTTTAAAATACTAAAAAGCAGTATTCATATATATGTAGAAATGTGGTGAACTGTTGAAAGATGAATGAAAAAAATCTGAATAAATTCACAAATACTAACAGAATCCAGTTCTGGTTCTGTGTGGAAAGTAACTGCCCACACCCTGCTCTGATCAGCTGCTGCCACAGAAGCCATCACAAACACCAGGCAAAGAGAACACAGAACTGTCAGACATTCTGTCTGTTCAGAGACCAAGACAGGAAGAAGCCACGAAAAGAAAGAATGAAAGGCACAGTGGAAAGGAGTCGTCTTAAGTAAGGGGCACTCTGCTGTTTGAAATTCTCTTTGCTACTACAATTTCTTCTTATTCTTCCTGAGAATCCACCAAATAGACAGCTATGCAGATTAGCAGGGATTATCCATTATCAAAACCAATACCTCTGAAATAAGTACAATACTTTATTATACAATACTATGAATTTGTTCAGTTGTTTTACTCTTCTCTACTTAAATGAAGCCAACTTCAAATCAAAGGAACAGTATTGAGCTACTCACTGTTGTACTTCCCCTCAGAATGCTCCAATTTTCCAAACTTCTAGTCAAAATTCTCATCTATTAGCCTAAAACAGTATGTTGTTTTTCGTTTTTTTGCGACAGGGTTTCGTATGCAGTTCAGGCTGGCCTTAGGCTCACTTTGTAGTCCAGGTTGCTCTCGTACTTTGCAATGATCCTCCTGCCTCAGCCTCCTAAGAGCTGGAATTACATGAATGCGCCACTATGCCCAGCTAAAACTATGTCTTTCCTCAAAAAAATTTAAATTAATAAGAAATAACAGCATTTTAAAAATAACTCACCTGAAAGTTATTATTTAACACTGGATAACAGTGTTCTTTAAAATAATCTATTTAAAACTTGAATTTTAACATCATTGCACTTTCCTTACAGAAATTTCACTACACTTCATTACAGAGTAAAACAATGAAGACCTTAACTTGTCCTTATAAACAAACATATTTAAAGAAACTTTTTGGTATAATATTCATCATTTGACTCTTACTTTGCTTCAATTTGTGGAAGTCACCGACTCTATCCTTGGTGGCTTGCTTTAGTGTATCTGTTTGAATTCTGGGTTCATTCTCCAAGTTTGAGCCGGGATTTAAAAGCTGAAGAGGATTGGAAGGGTTCTGTTTTGAAGTACCCAGGTTACCATTGTGGTTTACATGTGAATCTACGACAAAAACACATTAAATTAAAAAAGCTTTTTTTTTTTTTTTTGTTTTTTGGTATTAGGGATTTTGAACTTTCAAACTGAGCTACATCCCCAGTCCTTTTTTTGATTTTTTTATTCTGTGACAGTATCTCAGTAAGTGATTAAGTTGTCCTGGATGGGCTTGAACTACTGGCCTCCATGACCTCAGTGCTGCATTACAGTATGTACACTACCATGCCTGGCAGAATGTAATTCTTTTACTGAAGAATTTCATAAGAGTTGTTTTAGAAATGCTAAAAAAAAGTCACAACTGTCTGAAATCAAGTGATCATGTGAAAAAAATTTTTTTTGAGACAAGTTCTCACTATGCAATTCAGGCTGGGCTTAAACTCATCTTGTAGCCCAGGATGGCCTCAAACTTAGTGTCCTTCTGCCTCAGCCTCCTGAGTGCTGGGATTACAGGTATATACTGCCATGCTCAGCACCACCACTATTGTTAAACCTACTTACCAAAGAGATATACTATAGAACCCAAAGATGAGTACAACGATGACACATGATGGCACATGCCTGTAATTCCAGCTACTCAGAAGACAGTGGCAAGAAGACTACAAGTTCAACGTCAGCCTGAGCAAGGCAGTAAGAATCCTGTCTTTAAAAAGATAGATAAGTGACAGTTAAGCCTATGTCTTTGCCTCCCTCCAAAATCCATATTGCTCTTAGAAATCTCTAAAATTTATGATATCTAAGTGATCTTCAACAGATAAAGACTAAGAATTGTAGGGCCAGGGATGTAGCTCAGTGACACAGCAACAGCCTGGCAAGTATAGGGCCCTGAGTTCAATTTCTACTATCAAAAATAAAAAGGACTAAGAATTGTTAATTTTGCACTACTAAAAAAAAAGAGAATTGTTAATTCTGGATTCCTTCATAGCAGCAACTCCTTAACACAGCCTCTCTTTTTTTTTTTGTCTTTTTCATTTTTATCGGTACTGGGAATGGAACTCACGACCGCCTGCTTGCAAGGCAGGTGCTTATGCCGCTGAGCTAAATCCCCAGCCCCAACATAGCCTCTCTTTACTTCACCCCCTTTCCCCCCTTTATCTACATCTCGATTTAGATCCTTAATTTTGTAATCAGAACTTTCTTTGCCATGGATTTCTATATCTTTGCATCATCTCCCCAAGAAGCTTCTTTTCAATCATACCAGTTCTCATTGTAGGACAGTTTTAGAAAATAAAATAGGTATCAGTACTAATCAGTCACACCCATAAGTATGGGTAGGTGATTATATAGGTGTATGTGTGAGATGACCGAACACATTTTAGAGAAAATAAGTCTATATGGTCTTGCAGAGATGAAAGAAAACAGTGCAGAGTGACACAATAGTTCTTTCACAAAAAATTATAGTAACACATTAAACAAAGTAGTTTTGGAGGTTTTCCCTAAGATTTTTTTTTTTTTTTTGTCTTTTTGAGACAGGGTCTTGCTGCAGTTCAACTGGCCTTCAACTCACTTTGAGGCCCAGGATAGCCTCAAACTCACAGCTGCCCCCCTGCCTCAGTCCCCTGAGTACTAGGATTACAGACATAAGCTATCAAACCCAGCTTCTCTCTGAGATTTTACCAGTCATTTAAAATATGTAACATTAAAGAATAAATACTACTCTGGCATGGTGGCACATTCCTATAATCCCAACCCTCCAGAAGCTGAGGCAGAAGGACTGCTGCTGGTTTGAGCCCAGACTGGGCTATAGAGTCAGTTCGAGGCCAACCTGAACTACTATTAAAAGTAAGATCCTAACTCCAAAAAAAAAAAAAGCTATTCACTATGTTGCTAAATGATGTATTTTAGATATTAGATAACAGTATATAACCAAAGCCACTCACAGTGCCTCACACCCACAACTCTAGCACTCTATGAGGCTGAGGATTGCAAGTTCAAGCCCAGCTTGGGCAATTTAATGACTTAGTGAGACCCTATCTAAAAAAACAAACTAACAAAAAACCAACAAAGTTGGGAACGTAGCTCAGTAAAGCGGTCCCAGGTTCAATACCCAGTAACACAAACAAATAGAATAGTAAATTCATTTTCAGCATATTGCTATGAATAAGATTTCATACCTGGAGCCATATTTGGGGAGAGAGGGTGTCCAGTTGGAAGATGGGAGATTGTCTGATGATTTTCATGTTCAGAAACTAAAACAGGGGGCTTCCTTAACGCTATAAGAAAAAAATACATCCACATTATTCCCACATATATTATGATTTGTACAAATCAGTATCATAGATCTATTTACACTGTACTAATCCTATGATGCCCATTCTAATCTTGTAACTAACTCATTTATGTTTACTAATTGATATACTGGACCATCCAAAATAGATTTCGGTGATCAATAAATTTGATGAGAATATAACAAATTCTATGACAATACAAACTGTTTTGTTAACTACTGTACCCTATTCTAGATTTCAGGGTACACATAATAGCACATAACAGAAACTCAACAGTGATTTGATGAGTACATAAATGAGTTAATTTTTTCAGACACAGTGATTTCTCACAGCTAGATCTCTTTATACAGATAGTACAAATAAAACTTGACATTTACAGAACATAGGACGATTATGCTATCTCTGGTCCCCAGGTTTAAAATAAAGCCTCAATATGATTACTCCGATAATTTGAGGTTTTATCATGAAGATGGAAAATTTGTTCTGCACAAAGGGCTTTACTAACAAAGAGATACCTACCTTGGGGGGGGCACTATTTTCTCCTAAGAATTGAAGGCAACAGGGAATATGATGTGTTTTGTTTTGTTTTGTTTTGAACTCATTACCACTGTTCTACTGTATCCTGGGCAGGCAAACATGACAGAAAGGCAGACAGCAAACAAGAAAACGACAGAGAAAGGAAACATCATCTACAATCTCTCTTCCCCTTCTACCACAATTTAGGGTGCAACATGTGATAATGGTGGCAGCAGAAAATGGAAGGGGTCTCTGCTCAGACCACTGCAAAGAGAACCATTCAAGCTGTACCGCGTGGTAACGTGAGCAATAAATAAACCTTTACTGTTTCTAAGCCACTGGAACTTGGAAATGTGTGTTAATAGATCTAGTATAGTCAATCCTAATTGGTATACCTAAATTATTTTTGCAACCCTCAAAGTTTATTTCAATGATTATATTTTCATTTATTATTACATAATTTCTAAACCTAGAAAGTTTCTAAATTTCAGACAAGAAGTTTGAAATTCACTCTAAGGGAGCATACCATTCAAATTTACAGAAAGTTGAGGTTTTTTTGTGTCTCATTTTGTTACCATTATTTTGTTCCTACTGTTATCTGCAAAGCCTAACACACATTTGGCACACAAAACAGCTAAATAATAATCAGTTACAATTGTAGCAGAATGGCACTTGGCAGGCTTAGTAGTACAATTTTTATTTGCTTATAGGCCCTGAGGATATTACCCATCTGACAGAAATATTCTGACAGAAGTCTGTCATAATTTACAAAACTGTTCATCATAGCTGACTTCCTTACCACACAATCAGAAGACAGACTGGTGCTTCCATTATTAAACTAGACATCATTTATGTCCTTAGCTTTATATAATAATGCCTCCTACTCAAGAATCAGGTGACTATTTGAGGAAAAACTTATGACTTAGTTACGTAAAACAAAGCTGGATTCAAATGGGATCATATAAAGCACCCAGGTGGGTTTAGAACTAATATAGCTATGACACAGTATTACTATGTAGCCCTTATAAACTTAGTAGGGTTGTTTTTCTCTTATTCATTGATTGATTGATTGATTAATTGAGACCAACTGATTGAGAACAACTGATTGAGTCCAGGTTGCCTTTGAACATGTTGTAGCCCAGGCTGGCCCCCAACTCGTGATCTTCCTTCCTTAGTCTCCAGAGTAGTGCTGCCACAACCTGACTTGACTTTTTTCCGTGAATACCCAAGTATCTAATTTTTCTCTACAATATTATTTTATACTTGGATTTCTCTAACCTGTTATTTCTATCTTAAAAAAAACTATCATTGTATGTCAATATAGCTCAACATCACCATTTTAATGTACATATATCACATATTATGAATATAACAGGTTTATTGAACACCTTTTGTGGTTTCCAACTTGTCATTATAAGCAATTTTATGATGCGCATTCTTACAGTTACATAATAGAGTAAATTCTCAGAGAAATTTAGAAAGTCAACAGCTATGTATACTTTTCAAGTAAATTAAGAGAAACCAATTAATAAATGTAAGTTCAAAGACAATAATAAAAATTAGGTGGGAGAAATACTACAAAAAATCCTAACAATGACTTATGATATTAAATCAGCTTTAACTCTATATTTTACCTTAGTCCTCTTCAATGAGAACCAAAAAAAAAAAAAAAACAAAAAAAACAAAAAACCCCACACAAGTCACCAGAGAATAGCATGCTGATATCACAAAACACAATCAATACCTAGGCTGCTGGACGGTACAGCTGGGAGTTCCGGGAGAATGTCAAGACAAAGAAGCAAAAGGCAATCTCAGACCTCTAGCCCACACACAAGAAGTCTGGGGGATATAGTCATGGAAGAAAATGGAAGTCACTCACCTGAAATCTCTGAGAAGATAGCAACTGAAGTAAAGAAACAACATCACGAGATTGTAAAAGCAGTCAAATCAGAAATAACGTCTCAAGTAAAAACAAATCACAAACATACTGAAAGAATGCTCAGCATGTCTAAAATAGACATAGATTAAAAAAAAGAGAAGCATAGGAAAATGATGGAAACTTTAAATGAGTATAGAAAGGATTTACAATGCATGAAACATTCAAAGAGATACAGGAAATTAAAGTCAACTGAAAGCTAGCAAAACCATTTGAAAGAGACTGAAGGTAGACTTTCAAACCCTGAAGACAGGATTGCAGCTAGTAATCGTTAAAAGGAAGGATCTCTTAAAAATAACACAGAATCAGGAAATGACAATTCAATGGCTGCAAGATGATGCAAAGAAGCCTAATCTAAGAGTGATAGGTATCAGTGATGAAGCAGGGGTCAACACAAATGAAATTAAAAGGCTAATTATAGAAGTAATAGCAGAAAACTTTCCAAACATGAGAAATGGATCTGACATGCAGATAAGTGAGACATACAAAGCTCCAATTAGTCATAACCAAAGTAAATCTACACCTAGACATATAATAATCAAGATTCCAGAAATTCAGCACAAGAACAGAATATTAAAAGCTGTTAAGAGAAAAGAAACGATCACCCAGAAAGAAAACCAATCAGAATCACAGCAGATTTTTCAACACAAATCATCAAGTCAAGAACAGTTTAGAGGGGCTGGGGATTTAGCTCAGCGGCATAAGCACCTGCCTTGCAAGCAAGCAGTCGTGAGTTCGATCCCCCGGTACCGATAAAAACGAAAAAAAAAAAAAAGAAGAGTTTAGAGTGAAGTGTTTCCACTAGTTTTGAAGTTCTGTAATGCTTTCATTCTCTTATTTTGATTGGTTTTAGTCTGTTTTCTGTTGCTTGATTTTATTATGTGTGAACGTATGGACAGCTATCTTGAAGAAAACGAAACATTATGATAGCCATTGCTGATTTCCTATTATCTTGTTTTGAAGTCCCATAATGCTTTCATTCTTTTGTTTTGATTGGTTTTATTCTATTTTATTTCATTGTGTGTGAAGGTATGGATAGCTATTAAAAAAATAAAGAGGTATTATGGTAGCCATTGTTGATTTCCTTTTGTCTATTTTATTTCATTGTGTGTGAAGGTATGGATAGCTATTAAAAAAATAAAGAGGTATTATGGTAGCCATTGTTGATTTCCTTTTGTCCTGTTTTGAAGTCCTGTGTTACTTGCATTGTTTTGTTCTGATCTGCTTGGTTCTGTTTTTGTTTGTTTTGTTTTATTCTCTTTAAAATTAAAAACAAAATATCTGGGCTGCTATGGCCTGGAGATGTAACTCAGCAATACAGTGCTTGCCTGGTGTGCACAAGCATCTGGATTATACAGTCCTAGCAAATAGAAAATGCTTAATACATAATGCAGTGTCTAGAGATGGCAAGTCAAGAGTTTACCCTTAGAATAACTGGTCCAAGATATGAATTTAAGGGGAAAAAATCCATTCACACAAACCTACTAGCCCTAGTCAATTTATTGATTCCCCTGATAACATAGATAACTCATGTTAAGAGTCCTAAAAAGAATATTTACATAGATTTTGGAAGACTCATAAAAATTTGATCAGCAAATGACCTTTTCCAAGAAAGCTCAGAAAGTGAAGACTACAGTGGTGTGTATCTGTAATTCCAGCTACTTGGGAGACTGAGAAACTAGTATGGGCAACAGAGGTATCATAGTGGTATATCTCAAACAAACAAAACCCCTTTCCCCCTCAAAAAAAAAAAACCCTCAAAAAAAGAGATGAAGTGTTATTCTCAAGCCTGAATGGACCATTTTCACTCTTGAAAAAATACAAGTACATGTCTACAAAGACTTATTTACCACTCAGCTATATCCCACTTGCTTTCTGTCTCTCTCAACTTTTGAGACAGGGTCACACAAAACTGTTCAGGTTGGCACTGAACTTGGGACCTTCCTGTCCAAGTCTCCAGAGTAGATGGAATTACAGGCATGCACCACTATACAGATTACTAAAACATTGATCTCATGTGACTCTTAAGGTCTGGTCAATGAACTGAGGTACCTTTAAACTTTGGTATTTAATTAATTAATTAATTTCAAATCTATTTTATTTCAAAGACAAAAAACAAATTTTAAAACACAACAATCAGGGGACAATAATGGCACATATATTGCACATTACCATCCCCAAACCAGTCATCCAGAACACAAGACATCTGCATTCAATTGTCTGAACAGTACCAGTGCAAACTTTTCAATGAACTCAAGAGAAATCAGTAGTAAAACTATCTTCACTACACACACACACACACACATTATTTCTTTCAGCTTCTCACACTAGTGAGATAATACAGTGTTTACATATACATGTCTGATTTATTTCACTTATGTGCACGGTTTCCAGTTGTATCCATTTATCTATAAAAGTCTCCAGTTGGTCCTTCTTTATGGCTGAATAAGTACTTCATTGCATAAATATGCCACATCTTTTTTATCTATTCCTCAGTTGATGGGCATTTAGGTTGTTCCCAAGCTCTAGCTAT